GACGGGCAGCAACTACGCTGGGATAGCAATCTAGTCTCAGTTTTTTTCCTAATCAGATGGCTGGCTAGGAGAAGGACTGACAAAATAACTAAAAAACCAACAGCAGACTGTCACCATTTGCCCTTCCTGCGCCTGCCCTCAGGTGTAACTCGCTGGCTGTGAAGATCTTTCCAGGCACAGAGCTGCGTTGCCAGCTTCCGCGCCTGCTTTGGCAGGGCCATGTGCCCAAAAGCAAATATTTAACTCCCATAAATTGCTCTTGAGAGCACAGCGCAGCCTCCTGGCCCCAGTGTATCAGAGAGCAGAGACCCAGGGCTGTCTCTGGGATAATTCTTGTTTTAATCCACTGGTGCGAGACACACGGGCATCGCCTGAACCCAACGGCATCGCACGGCTGCAGTGAGCGCAGCGCTCACTTCTCCCCCAGAGGTCCCTTCCAACCCCGAACATCCTGTGATTCTGTTGCAAACCACGCGGCGGGCGTTTGGTTGCGGGGGTTACGGTGGCGTGGACGCTCCCCCCGCGCTGGTGCGAGGGCGTGGGGCACGGCCAGCCCGGACCCTTGTGGAGCTGTAAATGTGAAGCCGGCTGTACAATGCTGCTGCAAAAGCCGCGTGTCAGCCCTGAGCGCAAACGGTGTCTGTAATATGGTGAACATGGACACTTTTTCTTTTCAAATGTGATGTAAACTTTGTACAGTAAAAAAATTTTTTTTTATATTTTCTTTCAAATGAGTGTCTTCCAGAATTGCTATTAAATTAATTAAAAATTATTAGTATTAACAACAGTTTCTGTATTAGTTTATGCAACCAGCAAAAAAAAAGAAAAAAAAGAGTGCACTCTATGCTAATGAAATTCTGGATATGTAGGAATCTTTTCAGTGAATAAATCTTTGCTCTGGATAAAGAAGTGTTACAGAATTGTGGTTTGACCTTTTTGCCCCCATCCTACCTGCAGCCACATTAGAACAGGAGCCGGTCTCCCTCGGGACGCGCCCGCAGTCGGCCGGTGCTGGGGGCTGCGCAGGACGCGGCAGCGTTGCAGGTCATGCAGCCGTGCGCGCTATGTGGAGAAGCAGGAGTTGCCCCTACCGGGTGCTGCTGCAGGTCCGTCCTCAGACCCCATCACCTTTCCCCATCCTCGCCCCGCAGCCCAGCCGCGCCCA